GCACCACTCCGCCGTTGGCATCTCGCGTAGGTGCGCTAAATGCAGAAAGGAAGACTGTGAGCCACAATGTTTCGATAGCCGCTTCTCCCGATCAGCAGTCCCAGCCACGAAGCGGGTCAGGATTTGGTTCCGCCCTGGCCTCTTCCTTCTCGCGGTCTTTCACCTTTGGCCCTTCGTCAGCCTCCCCCACTGCAATTCCCTCGGGCCAGAAAAAACAAAGTCCTAGTGGCAGTCTGATTACCAGTGCTTTTTCTGGCAAGCCTGCGACGGCAGTTCCCGACTATCTCACGACCTCGGCTGCGCCTACATCTCAACCCCACTCTGACACCGAGAGCGAGAGGCCTCAAGAGAATCCGAAACCGCAGGCGAAATTCAAGGTCGTCTTGAAAAATCAGGATGAGTTTGACGGCGGAAGAAGCAATCAGACCCCAATGCTTGACCCGCATAAAGAAGGGCTGTACAAAGCCTACCGCATGGCGTACGCTCATTTGCTTTCGATCTGGGGTTTTCCAGTGCAGCACAGCGAAGTACTCAAAATCGGAACAGGCGGGGGTCGCTCTGATGAACTACGCTCACGGAAAAGGAGCCACAACAACATGGATGCGTCATTGATCGTTCCGAGTCGTAGCCACAAGGACGCCCGACTTATAGACGTTGATAGGGAAGATCGGGGACTTGGCCTTCAGCGGCACTGCATCAAATGCGGCCAAGCCCTTCAGATGTCTATCTTTGCGCCCACCGCTATTGAGGAAAACTCCAAGAACCACCTGAACATGGGTCCTGCAACTGTTACCTGCCAGAATTGCAAACCGCTTCGACCATTGTTTCTCAAGCTTCCTTGCGTGATATGCGGCGAAGTGGTTGAAGGAATGCTTGTCCCATGCCTAAGGTGCGGCCACGTTACCTGCTTTGACTGCCACAAGAGTTGGTTCTCGGTGTCTTTATCTGTGGCACAGCGGGATGGAAGTGACATCCCAGTGAACGGGATTAATGAGGAGCAGGAACCCCAGCTTTGTCCTAGCGGCTGCGGGTGTCATTGCTCTGAGCATACTGGCACAGATGTCCCGACACCGTTGGAACCGTCAACTCCAGCGCATGAGAGGGATATTTCACCAACAAGCACCCGTCTCAAACGGTCTGAGCTGCCAGCACGACCGAGCGAGTTGTCCACTAGTGTGGACCAGCATGAAGACGACCTCCTTGGACCTTGGCATGAATCACCATTCGCGTCCCTCGCGCGTGGGCTCGGAGGAGGCCTCAGTCGAGGTCTTCGTGTGAAAGAAGATCGGCGAAGACCAAGACCCTCTAGTACCGCGTTCATTCCGAAAAAGTCATCAATGAACCAAGTGGAAAAGGTGACATGACTTCGGTTGGTCACTGCATGAGCTCTGTCAATTATTTCTGTTGCTTCATACATATATACCCCTGAATTGTATCGTATAGGGTCATATCCCTTTTACTCTCATATGCATTTAATAGGCGTGGGGGTTCCGAACTTTGGCACTTGATGTTACCAATTCGTCTGCTTGCTACTTTCTTCTCTGCTTTACTATGAACGATATACGAAATGAGCACGATATGCATGGGTCCATTCATGGCCTTCATTTGATCATCACTGAGTTTCAAAACAGATTTTCATTACCATATCATGTAAAATATCGACCATATAACAATGACACGCAGAATACCTGTCTCAATGCATGACCACTGCAACATGGTCATCCATGTATTGACTGATGCTGCCCAAGAAGCAAGCCGCGAGAATTGAAACACCACCAAAAGCAATACTGACGTAGTACACCCACTTGTAACTCTCAGCATACGCCAGCTGGCCCGCAGTCACAACGGCATTATACGCGGTCTCGCTACCCGCGATTCCAGGAATGGTTTTCAATTCTTCCAGCAGCGAAGCGCCGGTGAGTTCGATGGCTTCGCCGATGTAGGCCGGATTGGTGATGTTGAGCTTCGTGACCATCACGCCGCCAATGAAGTGTTTCGCGTTGGGGACGAACTTGGAAATGAAAATGTTGTAGTAGATTGTGTAGCCGATGCTGCCGCCGACGACGCGGATGGAGAGAGTGAGTGCCGAGATTGTTGCGATGAGATCCTGGTGCGCGAGCTGTTAGGTTTCTGCATAAGGAGAGAGAAAGGGCTACTTGGAACATACGTCTGGGCAGATAATTGTGGTGATGATGGAAGCGGGGACGACGATCCCGCCGATACCCAGGCCTGCGAGGACGAGGATGCCCCAGAGCTGGCCGAGGTTGTCTTGTCTCGCTACTGCCATTGCGCCGCAGCCTGGGTTAGGAAACGTTAGCCACGTACTACTTCAGGCGGGGCGGTTGGGGGATGGGGGAGATGACTGACCTGCCGTCATGAGGACACTGCTGACGATTAATAATTCCTTGTTGTGGCCGCGGAGCACACTTAGAAGCCACAGCACAATACAGGCACCGCTCATGATGCCAAAGCCGACAGGTAGACTACGGATGCCGACTTGGACAGGGTCGTGGCCATACACATTGAATGACTGCGTAGGCCAGAACATGATAATCGAGAAGAAATTTGCTCCCGAGATGAATGTGATAACCAGAGTCAGGCCGAGGGTACGGGGCTCCTGCTTCAAGCGTGTCGGGAAGATGGGATACTTTGCGCCGTAGATTTCCCAGAGCGCGAAGGCGACGAGGATCACGAATCCGAGGATAAGGGGGACGAGGACGTGCGCGGATGTCCAGGGGTACTATGTGATAAAACTTGTTTAGCTGCTGGTCGGGGTGATGCGAAAGTCTGTGGCTGTAGAAGGTGATTCCTACCTGGTAACCTCCCCATTGCATGCCAGCCAAGAACAGGATTAAACCGGTGATACTCAGAAGTCCGCCGACGAAGTCAATCCTCCTGATCACCTCTTTCCTGCTGAGTCCCTGCGAGTTGATTCTTGGTGGTGGGAAATAGAAGAAGACGGTGGCTAGCAAGCCGAATCCAGCCCAGGCACCGCAGAAGGCTCCAACATAACGCCAGCCGCTATGCGCGGCGATGAGCTGGGCCCAGAGAACGGACGGGCAGAATGGCACAATAGTAAAGATCAGGATTGCAACGTATTTGCCCCGTTGCCTGGTTGGCGCCATTTCCGAGGTCGCAGCCAGCGCCGTCAGTTCGTTGACGCCAGCACCAGCGCCGGCAATTGCCATCCCAGCTAATTTCTCTGTTAGCGTGTACCTTGACTGGCTAGGTAGTATCCTCCAACATACCGATGAATACGTTCATTGTGTGAGCTGTGCTGGTAACGATCATGCCAAGGCAGATAAGAGAGGCGCCAATGATAGCAACATAACGACGGCCCATCAGATCTGACAAAGAACCAACGAAAGGGCATACACCAGCTAGAGCTAGCAGATTTGCCAGGACCTATATGATAAAAACGAATTAGTGGTGAGTAAAAGTGGACACCAAAGTGTAGCACCCACAAACCAAATCCACCTGTCCGCACCACCGATGTCTGCATAAATATAGGGTGGAATGCCTCCTAACCGGCGTTGTCAGCTTATAGCGAGCGTAAGATCAATTCAAGGTATGAGGAACTCACCGTAAAGATAGACAGGGATCTGGCTGCCAGTCCACAAGAAGGCCATGGCCGTGAAGCCCATGAAACGGCGGAAGGTCAACTGAATCGAGTCAGCAGTCAATTCGATGAGTTGTCCAAACCAGTAAAGCATAAAGCACGGTACTCACAGGAATGTCTTGACCCTCTGCCACATCTGAACCTCCTGATTCTAGTCCAACAATCTCCTCATGACTGTACTTCTGCTCCTGGTTGCCCCCCATGCTTGTCTGTTCTGCAGGCTTCTCATCCACCTGAGACTGACTCGAGTGGTCGGCGACCTCCATAATTGCACAGAATGTCGCAAAGTGACTCAATTGGATGGGAGAGACGACAAAAATTAAACCACAGATCGGTCCAATGCCGCAGAAAGCAATGACCTCGTTGTATTGGGAAAGAAACGGGAAAACAATCGTGTCGATCAGCCAGCAAGTCCAGGCTTCTTATATGTGTCAATGTTCCATCAAAATATCAGAGTTCAATGATAGACCAAGCTCTTGGTAGCCTCCTCGACGAGAATGCTTAGGTTCATGGCGGAGTCACGTTGAGTGAATCATGATCTCAGGCGGAGAACGGACCCCGATATGACCTAGCGAGCCAGGTTCGTTGAGTACCTGTACCAGAGTATCTCTATGTTTCAAACGGAGATGCTTCCATATCGAGACAGAACCGAGGCACTTTCCAGAATTCTGGTGCGACCAGAGCTTCAGTGATTGCCGACGAGGGGTTTCTTGGACAGCTGGGCTCATCTGGGCCGTGGACAGTGCGGGGGATTGGACCTGCAAACGTGGCGCGGGCGATAGGGGCGAAACAAGCTCCATATTGACTTTGACTGGGCCATGTGTGGATTGAGTTTATGCTACTTGATTGGAGGTAGGAGAGGAACGGATATATGACCAGATTAGAGCTAGCCAGTAGCCAGCGAAAATAAATCGGTCATATCATTGTCTTACCCTTTTGATCAGACGAAGTGGGCCGCTCCAAAAAGTCAATACGTCAATACCCCGGACTTTCCCCAGTTTTCCACTATCTGCCCCATTAATGTCCCCGTCGTGTCAAGATGCCAGTCCAAGAGCTCATGCAACTTTAATTAAGAGCTATTCGAAATATTCCGGAACCGCCCCCCTGTCATAAGATCGCGAATTTATGGAGCTAGATATGTGTATCTGAAATAGATATCGTGTTAGTGGACCATTTGAGCGCCATTTTATGCATAGCGAGAAGAGATAGGCGACAAGTTGAGCAATCCTTCTTCGATAACCCAGAAATAGACTTAGTTATTCAATTATATCGAGGAGGGAAATCTCGATCCCGACTGAGTATACATCCCATTGTACCCGGGCTTGAAGATCTCGTCGACATCATGACATGCCCCAGTCTCGTCTCCGACGAACCAAGCGGATCAGAATCGTTCTCCAATCTTCCGCAACTCGAATCCCTTTGGAACCACAAAAAGCGCAGAGGCTTGCGCACACACTCGCCCGACCGGGTCGCGGATCTCTCCAGTCACGTACGCCTTGCGTTCAGTGCTTCTTTCTGGGTCTACCTGCGAGTGAAATGTGTAAAAGTTGCCAGAGTATACCGGAGCGCGATAGTTGATCTCAAGATTGGCTGTCACGCCGGTGCGTGCCGGGAGATGGCGTATAGCAGCACGTCCCAGATTCTCATCAAGCACAGTAGCGAGAGCGCCACCATGGACAACCGTGGGCCAACCCTCCAGACCCGATCCGAGGTATACCACACTAATGGTTTTCTTCTCCTTGTCATTCCAAAAAACTCTCTGTGCGAGAATAAATTAATTAGCGAGTGTCCAATGTTCCGAGGTTGATCGAGCTTTCACGCCAGCATTAGAGTGCTCAGTAGGCAGGGGAGCTCGGTAATGATATGCAGGCCAAGAAAGTCTCAATCCCTGGTTGATTGCATCTCCTCTATGATGATGTATGAGGTAAAGACACGAACCTGAAGTGCCAACCCTCGACTCCCACGCAGCGGGCCCGACGTCAATCTGCGCGCCTTATCCTCCTCGGAGAATCCTTCGTACACATTCGATTCCACGTAGTCCGGATTGTTTCTTAGTTCTTGCACGATAGGCAGCCCGTTCTCGAATACGTGATTGATCTCCTCCAGCTTGGCTGTGTCTTCCACTGATCCTGGCACTGCCGGTGCCGAGACCTTCTCATCCATCCATTTCCCAGCGGCAACCCCTAATCCACCAAATATTCCTGCATAGACCAGTCGCCGCGGCCACCTCGACTTGGCTGCTGTTGGCTCCGTTTGGGCAATAGTGCTGGCATGGCGCGACAGACGGGGCTTTGATAGGTGCACTGACTTCAATTGCGTTGCATTACAGCGCGGTCTAGATTGAAGGATTCTGCGAGGACCAAACATGATGATCCGAATCACATCGCAACCTGGCAGTAGGTATGGCTGCGATTCAGACGATTCGCGTTTCCATTGCGATTTATCAGAAGCAACCTTGACGGGGGAGAACAAGCGCCGATTGCCGAGGTCGAGGTCACGTGATCTAGCTTTTGACTTGGGACTTTTGACTTTTCTACGCCATGACATTGTTGCTTAAAGAGAATCGAAGGTTACTGAAGTACTATCCAACACTTCGGAACGTTCCCGACTTCATATATCTAAAGATTCTTCGTAAGAGTAGCGCGCATGCAATGTTCACGGAGTCAACCAAACGGTTAGACGCTGAAGAACAAGAAACGCTGCATGAGTCTAGCTAATCCGAGAACCTTGGTTCAATGATGCTCCATGTGGTCGTTATGTGCTAAACTTTATTTCTCTAAGATGTAGACCGTAGGCACGGCACGGTTGTTATCAGTAGGCGTCATCGAAGCTTCTTATTCCGCAGTGGGCAAATCAACTGCGCGGTAAAGAAGGATCAGTGCAGAATGGGATTCACCTGAAATTGCGAAATATCAGTCAAAGTTTCATCAATAGCAAGAAGCGATTTACTCACCACCACCAGCAAGGGTTTCAATCTTCTCTCCGTCCACCTCGGTGACCTTCTCGTCGTTGAACCACCACCATTTCCCGTCCTCCTCGCCCTTGCCATTTGGCTGCTTCTTCACATATGACGTGTAGTGACCACTATCAGCACTGGCGCCTTGATGCGTAATGACTGCGCGCAACTCGTAGAGGCCAGACTTGTTTGTACCGGCATCTGAGGCGAGTTTGGGGTCAATCAGTGCAGACAATTCTTTCTTTGCAGCGAGAATTGAGGCATTCTTCTCAGCCTCGTAATCAGCATCCGACTTGAAGACATCTGTCATGCCTGTATCCCCATCTTGCTCGCCGTTCTTCGTAGCCTCTTTTTGCTCCTCCGTGGCTTTCTTTTTTTGCATGGGTTCCAGACCCGCATCAGACTCAGCGGCTCTCTTCAGCTCCTCCTCCCGCTGATGGGCCAACTTCTGGCGCTTGCGGGCACGCTCAACATCGACCTCTTCTTTCCGGATATCTCGTACCTTATCCCTGATAGGGACCAACTGCTTCTTGAGCTCCTCCGTACAAAATTCAACCACATCCAATTCGGCAGGGAAAGTTACTTTGCGCATGATCTTGGCCTTCTTTTGGGTCTCTCGCTTCCAGAAAAAGCGGACAAAGTGCACCGTCAGATACTTGGGCAGCCGGGCAATGCGGGATCGTTTAGTGTAGACGGCGTCGCGGTCCAAAGTAGGAGATCGCTTTTCAATCTTCTCCTCGAGACCGGCCAGTATTCCATCATGCAAGTGGTTTGTCTCTTTGCCGATGTGGCAATCCAGCTTGTAGAAGACGTCGGAGCTTTTTGTCGCTTCCTCGCCGGCTTCTTTTGCCGCCGGATCGTCACATTCGGTGACCGACTCGAATCGACCAGCAAGATATTTGTCCACGAACGACACCTCGGTAGCGGAGTCTCCTTCGCCCTCTTTGATCACCAGTTTGGTTCGCAGTTGAGTGACAATTTGGGACCAAGCCTCTTCAGCGTCTTGTTGAGCATAGCCATGTCCATTTCTGTCTTTCTGAGCAAATTGAGGGAAGATGCTTCTCAAAGCATTGAGAAACATAAGTGGTGGGAAACCTTCTTGCGTCTCGGACATCTGCTTGAACAAATCTCGCAAGGAGGATACAAGATCCATGGAGGCACCAAGACCACCAAGGCCCAGGCTGCTGAGATCTGAAAGTCTTGAACCCGCTGAAGAGCCCGCGCTGGGTCTGTAGTTTAGAAGCTCCTGTTGAAGCTCCGGGACGCTCCTGAGGGTTTGTAGGGTAGAGTTGAGGTAGCAAGTATTTCCAAGATTTTGTAGACCAGCAGGGGTGGCTCCCTCCGCTCTGGCAGCCTCGGCCTCGGTCATATCCTCCAGAAACTTGACTGGTTCCTTTGGCCGTCCCAAGTCTACGGCACCTTGACCGCCAGACGGCGTACCCATCATCATGAATGTCTGACCCGGTTTAGCGTTGAGAGCGGACAAAGGCGTTTCATTTTTGAGTTGGCCACCCTTGACCAAGATTTTCTGTCTCTCGGGTTCGACTCCAGTCAGGGAGTACATCTGATATTTGAGTGTTTCGCCATTCGCAGATGGATCGAGCTCAACCTCATGACGTTTGCCTTGATGCTTCACGATAACTGAGGAACATGATGTTAGTACGAGCTTCGAAAAGATTCCAAAATGCATCTCAGTAGAGCGGGTAGTCATACTTGGTATTGTAGCCATCTTGTTCAAGCTTGACAAATGCTTTCAAGTCTTCCAGATGAGCTTTACCTGATAGATTGCTGGGCGAGTGGCGCATAATCAACGGGATGCCAGAGAGATGACTCCAGAACAGCGTGGGGCGGAAGTTACAAACAATGCAAACAAAGCAAACAACTACATACGACATCACCGCCCAAGCAGCCGTGCGGGATGTCGTCGTCGGCTCCTGAAGTCGACTGCCTAGTACATGTGCTTGAGTACAATCATTTATCCAGTTTCAGTCCAGCTTTCCTGATAGTGCTACATTTGCGCGTATTCAATTGGTGCGATTTTGACCATCGTCAGTCCTGACTCGAAGCGAACGTTGACAAGAGTTGGAGTGGGGAATAGCAACAGTGACGTGGAATTGCCATACCTCGCATCTCCGTTATGGTAGGCTGTACCCTGTCGAACACCTCGCGATATCTGGTATTGATCATCTGACAGTCTCAATCATTGCGCCCGTACCTTCAATGCGTTCGGTCCTCGCTTACCGCCGCTCTTGCGATCTCGAACTTCGCCTCGCAAACCTCCGAAAGGCATAATGTTCCTGAAATCGAGGCCCAGAGCTCCCCGGAACTCCTCCTCAACCCTCTCACAATTTCTCGGAATGAGAATGAAAAGGTCCTGATTGAGCCCAGCGTAAACAGTGTTCGCGTGAGCATCAGAATCAAGCAAGCAGATGAAATTGAACATATCCTGGTCCACAAGTTCACCAGATTCTTGACGCAACGGGCAGAATCCTTCTTTATCTTGCGGAGGAAACCAGTCAAGGTAAGTGACCATATGACCTTCGAGGCCGGAGAAAGGACAACTTGCTCACCTGTCCAAGGGATATGACATCTCGTTCTTGATCACGAACTTCCATACAGAAGCTATGTTGAAGCACAAGCTGGTCGACTTTATCATTCAATTCATGGAGGAAGTGGACAAGGAGATATCTGAGATGAAGCTCTTCGTATGTGCTCAGATTCCTCATTCTCAATTGATGGTTCTACAAGGCTAATGTTATTCAGTTGAATGCCCGTGCTCGATTTGTCGCCGAGTCTTTCTTGACACCAGTAAGAGACCACTTCCTCCTTCCCGCACTCACTGCGTTTCTAATAAATCTATGCTACAGTTTGACTAGAAAATTATTGATATCACCTACATCTCTCCTTGAATTATACATGACCTCTGTTTCGTCCAATGAAAACCTCTGTACAGGCGATCTAGGCTGTTAAAGGGAAACATTCGAGCAGTCCGCTGGATGCTTTATTCCCTCCTTAGATCCTCAATCCCACCCTTGAATCAAACCCAGTGAGCTTACTCGCTTCTAAAATTCATCCTTGTATCTATGGCAATCCATTAAGACCATGGCTCTTGACTCACTGCGTCATCACCTCTACTTCAATGAGACAATACATAAAGCTCAGTTGATGCGTCCAATTCTCGACAGTCTATATCTGTCTCTAAACCACTGCCAAATTTTCCACTACAGCTCGCCAATTTCTCTACAAGTCTACTCTAGTATTTACTTCTCCACGATGTCAAACTTTGTCTCTACCTTATCGTTACGGGAGACTCCAGCATCTAGATCCCAACTAACTGGGTGACGTACTCGTGTGCTCGCAGAGATTGTGGCTCTGCTCCTAGTGAATTATGAGGAATGCAATGTTTCAGATATCAAGTGCTGATACTCCATTCACTGCTCAGCTGCCTTGTTGAGGATTAGCCCCTACTGATGATATCTAATTCAGATGTCAGTTCCTGGACTTGGCACTACCTTCGGGGCATCTCTTTCTCCGCTCAGGTCGGTGATGTCTTATAGAGAACTCATTATCTAGCATATCTAAGCCCGCCTCTGATGGCCTCACAGAGACATCACATTGTCTCCTCTCTGAGCTCATTGTCTAATCATGTAGATGTAGACAACACTTTATTGTGGAGACAGCATAGAATAGTGAATATGAGTGAATACTGAATCAAAAGCGGGTTTTTCATCCCAACATTCTGTTACTATGGCGCTCATCTGCCCCGACGCTTTTAACAATATGACTTTGTCTCTGCTGATGAGAAGTACTTCTATTCTTCTCTTCTCTTTCAACCTTCTTGCATGTTAACCGTCCCATCTCACTATGGAGGACAAGGAAACTAACAGCCAAATGTCTGGGCATGAGACCGGATATCCGTTCACACCTCCTTACCCTCAGAGCTACAACATGCTTCCCTTCGGAGCTCCTGGCATGCCGGGCTTCGCTCCCCTGCCGGGGCAGTATATGGCTCCAGGCAATCCGAATCCGTCCCAACCATTGCAGCAAGAAGGCCCCTTCATGTACTCTCCTTTCTATGGCATGCAGGCTATGGCTCACGCTCTTCCTGGCGTCATAGGACAAGCTCCCGGGATGCAAGCTCCGCTGCCTGCCTCGAACACCCACCTCCAGCTTTCAGTCCGTCCCAAGCGGACGGGGTTTGCCTCAGCTGGCTCTCACTGGGCTCCGCGCTCTTCGTTGCACCAGCTCCTGGAGCATGACTCTGAGAATCGTGAGATAGCTACCCAGGCTGCTGACTGTGAGAAGAGTTTCGACACGGTGGCCCTTCCCACTGAGATGCCGATTGGGAGCCAAGTCCACAACAGAATGCCCCCTCAATGGGGAGTGGTAAAGATCGCAAACGTAAGTCAAAACCTTCAGATGTCTCTAAGCATGACAGTCCTTTAGTCGTTGTAACGTCCACGGGCCTTCGGCTAACAAGCAAGGAAGATTCCCTACTCAGTCACCCGGCAGGAAATCGTTCAGTTTCTAGGTCGCCAGGCACGCCTTATTAATCCACAACAGGGCTGCGCGATCCATATTATAATGGAACGTTCCACTGCTAAGACAATGGACTGCTATGCGGAGTTCCAGTCCACGACTGATGCCCAGGAGACAGCTACTCGCATCAACCGAATCTATGAGACTGGCCGCGCTCCTCGTCTAGGTAACCGCTCTGTTGATGTTGAGTTCAGTAACCAAGATGCTCTGCTCAAGGATCTGTTCCCTCGTGCCAAGTGCATCATCTGGAAAGATGCTATGCCTACCGCCGTCCCCAACGATGACCCCTTTTCTACTGGATTCTCGGGCTTTTTCACCAGCGAGGAAATTATCAATGCCATTCGCCATGCTGAAATACCGCACCGTGTAAGTAACCTTCACTCGATTCAGTCCGGTCTTTGTCTGCTGTCTGCTCAAGGCACTAACAAGATTGTCAGTCTCCGTTTTGTGCGAAGTGTCCACAGCGCACTTACGAGTCCACCATCAGCACACTCTACAAGGTAAGCCCCTTTCGTCTGACGTCATTGTACGTAGAACGTACATGAGAGAGACAATATGCTAACAATACACACCCCTCTGCTTAGTTCCCGTGGTACGCTACCAAGCTGTACACCGTTCATGACCGCAATCAGTTGTTTGAGCTGGTTAATCGTCACATTCTCTCTCTTGTTGCGCGAGTTAAGAGGTCGAACACAGTTGGTCTTGACCAAAGACTGCTGAGAGAACTTCTTTATGCTGGATTGAATTGTCCTGCGTTCAATGAGCGCCAGAAGTTCACGCTGTCTGTCAATTCCGAGGACACCACAGAGATCTTGAAATTCCCAGATATGGGCAAATGGTTCCCTTTCGACACTCTCGTCAAGTTGCCAAAGACTGAAGAGAGCACACTGCTGGTATGTCCTCCTTTCTTGACCTTGTCCCGAAGCATTGCAGCTTTTCAGGGCCTGGTTTGGCACACACTAATAGATTGAGCATTCAGTATTACGTCAAGTTGATATCGAAAGGTACCCTCCATGATCGCACTGACATGAAGCTGCCGAACAACTTCCCGTTGACGAACATTCACCTTGAATCTCCTTACGGTCCTATCTGGCTCGAATGGCCGTCCAACATCGCTAAGACCATGACCTGGGAAGATGCTTCCGCGCACGAGATGAGCATCCTTAGCCATCTTGTCCTGACAGGCTGGATGAAGAACGACCAGGAGAACACCAACAAATCCGGCCTACTACCAGAGTCCACTACCGCAAGCAGCCGCGAGTCCCATGCCAATACCATCGTGTCATCTGGAAGCGATAATAGTCCAATCAACGTTCGGACATCTTCGACTGATATTTTCGCGACACCTTCCCGCCGTGCAAGCGTTCAACTTGGCAGCCGCAGCTCCTTCGCTGAGAGCAGCGATGACGGCTGGCGCCGTGCAATGTATATGCATTCTTCGGCCGGCATGCGAGGTAGGTTTCCTGGTCATCGGAATACCCTGTCATCTCCCACTTGTCTTCCGTCCGCAGGCAACCATTAAGGTTTCAGCGGGTCAGAGTCGTGGGATGGCTGGTACTGGAAAATTCCGAATTGTTGTCATTCTTGGACGGCAAACAATGTCTTGCTATCTTTTGGCTCCATTGTAAATTGCCGCCAGGAGTTTGAGATCTGCTTTGTATCGACTCGGTACTTTGAAGGGCGACTTGTGGGTGCCTCACCCTAGCATTGTCCATCTTTCCTGTCCACTGAGATTTCGGCCGCGAAGATACTGGATCCACGAGAAGTGACTGACGCAATGAATTGGAGTCAATTTGACGCAGTCAAGATCGATTGAGATATCATGCAGTGTCAAATCTGCTTGTTTCGAGGAACCCTTGGGAGGTTGCGTGGTACCGAATATCATTTATCTCTTGATTCCTTTTTGATCCTGCTCATGCGGATGATTGGCGGTGCAGGCGGCACCATGGCCAGTTCTTCAATGGCAAATCACTGACTTAGATTAGATGGCTTGTTTCTCGATCATGTATCTAGAATTCTCATAATTGCGTTGGATCCATCCCCCATCCCATCTCGTATGTCGCTGTCTCGTTGTCAGTAGATTTTGCCTGAGCGTCGAGAACCTTCTTCCTCATAAGGCCTTCCGCCCTCTTCCTCTCTCTGCGTGCTGCAGGATCTTCCCAGCCCTCAGGTTTAGCCTTTGGTCTTGTCCTTGAGCCACAGGGTTGTTCCCTCGAGCAAAGGTTGAGCAGGCTTGTCCGAAATCTTTCCTTGCGCTCTGCATTAATTGAAAACCTCTCGTTTGAGATGGCGACCAGCATTTGAAGATATTCTTCTGTGACCAGACTGCGGATGACAGGCTCCTTGCTGCTCGTATCGTCTTCTTCATCGGAAGATTCGCAATAGCCAATGACAGATTCAAGGGACAACCCTGCAGAGCGCACGGCGACAATAGGACTTGGGCCATTCTCGCCTTCAAGGCAACGGAGACTTTGTAATCCGCTTTCCCGAAATCCAGAAGTCGCAGCAGCAGACAACACAGGATGAGCGTGGTGAAGCGTGGCTGCCATGATGTGAAGGATCTATAGAGACGGGTGGTATCAGTACGAGTTACCTGATTTGCTGAATCGAACATGATGAAAGACGCTTGAAAGTTTCTGAAAACACTGTCCTGAAAGTAAAGCCAAAAAAGGGCGAGATATGTGCTCCAGCATTGTATTGAGGGTCGGGTGATAAAGGACTGTCAACCTACCATAGGATCGTAGTGGAAGCGCACCAGACGCGGGGCGTGATGTCCTTTTTCCAGCCTCGCAGGCTTTCCATCTCCAGGAACCATCCCAAACAATTCATGCAAACTTCTCGGATAATCTTTGCCTTGCCGCAAATCGGAATCATCGCCGCCACACCCCGTCCAGTAGTCTTTCAAAGGATCGTGAGAGACATATAGCCACTTCCCTGCCCCTTTGCCTCCGGAGGGCGCGAACTGCCGTTGCTCCTGCTGCTGGTCATTTTGCTTTTTTCTCCCCTCCAGGAAGACGCTGATTCGTCCAGCACAACTACTGGTGGTCACCAGACCGGGCAGAGCATTGATATCGTGGATTAAGTCGCGGATGCCCTCATCTACCGATCCTTTTGGTGAAAGATCCGTATACTCTGTGTCAGGGACAGACAGTTCCGCCAGAATCTTGCGCTTTCGAGATTCAAAGACCTCTGGAATCGTGCCTCCCTCCGGACTGCTCATGACTCGCCTCTGCGCTATGACACCCTCTAACCGTAGCTGAATCACCCTGAAATATCGCAGTCCGTTTCAGCAAAAGTCGGCCGAGATGCCCGGCAGTGGACCGGAAATTTGAATTGGTTTGTGGCAGAATGACTAGTGATTTTTTCCCGTCTCTCTAACAATATGATAGGCCTCTCGCCGTTACGAAGAGAAGCTTGGAAATTTATAGATGCGGGAATGCCTTGTTCACAAATCCAGACTCGCGGCATCACCAAAGCTTTTCGCTAGCGACTGTCGTCTATCAAGCGAGCGCGCGCTAAGTTTAGTGGCACGGGAGCAAAGGACCCTTCCGCCTTTTCCACGCGAAAAGCGCCCCATAAGTTACCAGCCTCCTGGTTTGTCCCGTCATCCGCTTGAACCGTCTCAAAGTCAATCAATCGCTAACTAAATCTTGCGTAGCCCGCTTATCCCGTCAGCCCGTTACGAAGCAAACCGCGGACAATCTCTTAAATGTCATAGACTATCGCTTACCCACACATTCCTGCTACCGCTCGGCTCCTCTTTATCCTGCGTAGCTACGTATAAATCATCAGAGATTCGTCTCCGATAATAGCTTGCTGTGAAAGAAAAACGGTATATCCAAGCCATTTCTTATCTTGCCATCTTTCGGATCCAAAATGCCTCGTCGATCGTCTCGGGCCGTTCCCGCGCCTGCAGCAGCTCCAGCGCCGACTCCAAAAAGGCGCGCGTCTGACAGAATCTCTGCAGGCTCAAAAACAGATCCGAAAAGACAAAGGTACAACAGCACAACCGCCAAGAAGGCCGTCAGGTCTACCGCCAGAAAGAGCAAATATTTTGAAGACGAGGGACATGAAGAATCAGACCCTGAATCTAGTCATGCATTCGAGGTGGGAGAAGACTCAGGTTCAGCCTACGAAGATACAAACTTGTCCTCCCCGTCAACTGAACCGGAGTTTGAAGAACCGGAGGCGCTATCTACAGATGAGGAGAGAACGAAAAGATCAACAACAAAGAAGGCTAAACCTAGTGGAGGTCGAAAGACACCAGTGAAAAGCGGTGCGAGAAGAAACAGAGAAAACAAGGAAGAAGACCACCCTAATGAGCAGATAGCGGCTTCGCTAAAGGACAAAGAACTATGGAGAGAGGGTGTCAGCACTGGTTTAGGACCTGGAAAAGAAGTCTTCATCAAAAAACCTAAAGCCAGAGATCCCGGAGATATTCCCTATCGGGACGATACACTGCATCCGAACACCATGCTTTTCCTGCAAGATTTGGCGAAACATAACGACAGACAGTGGCTCAAAGGTATTGATGACAGAATGTATATACCGAATTTTAAAACAGGTCTAACCAACTATCATCTGGGCAGCGCATGACGCGGATTATCGTGCCTCGAAGAAAGACTGGGAAACCTTCGTCGAAAGTCTCACAGAAAAAATATCAGAGCTGGACAGCACCATCCCTGAGTTGCCTGCAAAGGATATCGTAAGTGTCACTTTTCGAAACAACTTTGTCACTGTTAAACCCCGGAAGGAGGAAAATAAACCGATGAGGTGAAATGAGGCAAATGCATTGACTTTGGTGCCTGCCAGGTTTTCCGCATCCATAGAGACATTCGATTCAGCAAAGACCCCACTCCATACAAGGTATGTATTATATTCACGCATGACCTGTCAGCATGCTGCGTTTCGCGTGCCCAATGTTCAGGTCGTTGGTTGGTTGACGATTGCTATGACTAGACACACTTTTCAGCTGCATGGTAGATTCATTCTCTGCTCTTGTGTAGAAGATTCATTGACTGAACGCCTTTCATAAGGTCCCGCACCGGCAAAAAAGGCCCTTATGCCGCTTATTATGTGCATCTGCAGCCCGGTTCTTGCTTTGTCGGTGAGTGATTCCCTGAACACATCGGCCTCTGCCACTCAGAGTGAATGCCGCTTTCAAGGTGTTCTGCACCTGCACCAGTTTACCCTCATTCCGACTTGACTCTGGGCAACCTTTCTGTCTGGACCATTTCACGGGGCTCCGTCGGCAACTACGGCTCCTTCTAGAACTGGTGACACCCATGCTTCCAGAATCTTGTCCATTTTCCCCATTATCTCTAGGCCATGATGCCTTAAGCTCACAAAGTTTGTGCTGTTCACAGGCTCAGGACTCTGGCACCCAGAAGCTGATAAGCTTGCTCTTCTTCGAGAGGATATCGACCATAGTTCGCATCGTTTGAAGGCTGTGCTGCGAAGACCGGACATGCGCCGCGAGTTTTTCAATGGGATTCCCGACGACGAAAAGAAGGCTGTACAGGCTTTTGTTAGTCAAAACAAAGAAAGCGCGCTCAAAACAAAGCCCAAGGTAGGTACAGCTCGTTCTCGATGTTTCATCCCATTACTGGCACACATCAACCACCACTGTCACGGGCGCAAAGCGTTCCCATCGAATTCTTTCGGGCAGTACTCTATCAGATGGGCAAATTAGAACCAGGTTAAGGTGCCACGTTCAGAGGCGTCCCAGGGGGCCTCTTGGGCGCGGTGCTACTGCTGGTTAGTGATGGCCCCATCAAGGATGACAAGGTCTGCTCATTCAAAAGACGCTTTCTGGCCAATCAAACAATGCTTTGGGCTGTCGTCTCAGAAAGAGAAGCAGCTAAATACGACAGCATTGATGGGCAGTTGTTCTTCACTGCTTTGTGTGTGTCGAGGTTGTTGATGGCAAGAAGCGCAGCCGCGCTCGGGTAGCCGGGAGCTACCCGTATTGGGAGCTCGCGTTCTCACACCCAAAACGTCGCGAGTCGGGAGTCTGCAAGCCTACGAGCCTGAGTCAATATTCGCTCGCCCCAGAAAGCGTTCTACTCATAATTCTGGACTCCTGAAACTTGGTTCCTGGGACCAGCGCGGAAATGCCATCGTTGTCCCACCGGAGTTGCTTTTGGTGTCGAAGAGTTTTCTGCACCGTCTCATCTGTTTCCATGGTTCACCATCTGCCTACTGGCGGGTCTTTTGCCGCGTTTTAATTTCATTTCCACGGTCTGTAGTACTGACTGCTGACAAACTTGGTTCCTCTGTAGGGTTACGAGGCCGACAACGAAAACATCGAATTACTCCGTCTACGCAGTTTCACCATAGGAAAGCCCCTCTCCGACTCGGAATTTATGGCCTCGAATGTTCAAGAGAGAATTGCCGCCATCATTGGTGTCATGGAACCCTTTGTAAGCCATGCTAGCCACCCTTGTTGCGCAGCCTCAATTGGCTTTTCTCCCGCCCGTCCGCGTCTCTATCTATTGGATCTTACCATTCCGTAGCGGATACATGGCCCTTGTCTGGTTCTTGTTCCCCTCTTCGCCATGCCCTTCCCAGCCACTTCAGCGGTGTAGCCTCTGAGACACAATGGTCCCCACCGTTTAGTACAATCATGCTTGATGCCATCATATGAGAAGACGCAAAGATGGACCCCGGAGTCCTTTCATGAACGCTGTTTTACTGACAACGGTATCATTTCACAGGTTACGTACTTGAACAGCGTCGTTATGCCTGATCCAGTGGACCAGGATACAGGCTCCGAGTCCGACTCCGCATGACCAGATTTCGTTGCAGGTCAACTCCCTCCCTGGTGGCCCCAGGGTCGTTTCCCAATAACCTCGTCGATCTTGCGGTGTAGTTTTTGCTTTGGCGTACAAATACGAAGTCCACTTTTGAAGACTCTCTTGTTGTGGCAAGAGCCACAGCATCGTTTTTTCGTAATATTATCACCCCTCGCCCTGTATATTCCCTGGGACCCTCTGGCGCTCAGCTGGCTGCTGTCCTGGCGCCGACATACAACCATATACTATCCATCCTTTGTTGGGTGGGTTTGTCGTAAGAGTCTAGACTGAATTACTGTGCATTCGAATTCCTTGACTGCAAGCTGGCATGCATGCCCCTCTCTATCTCTGTCCACTGACCGCCAGTCTCGATCTTCCAGTAAGAACTGTTCTTGGGTCAAATCCATGGACAGTTGACACCCCACTGTCCACATATGGCCGACTTGCATGTTATGGCCTGCTGTCCGCGCGCCGCTGCCCGGCCCGTGGGACGTGCCGTTAGCTCCACGGTGCAGCCCATTTCTCGTCAATGGGAGTTATCCACTTCTGCACGCGTGCGAATCCGTCGATGCCGCTTGCCATCTGTGGTACTTATTCCATGGACACAGGAGCAACGATTTCTGCATCGGTGCCTGAATTCGCGACGCACAATGTCTTGTACGAGCCATGGTATCGTCTTCAAAGCCAAGCATTCGCCTTGCTGGCGCCTGGCATCAGTTAACCCAAGTCAGCAACCTTCGCGAAAGGCAAATCACCTAGAGACTGTGACCGCTAAACAGGAGGGTGGCATTGCTCCTTCTGACTCCTGCAAACCACACATTACCTTTCTCCACCTAGATTCTTTGTACCCTATATCTAGACCATGCTATTGGATGGATCGATTGTGGTTTGACTCGCAGAGATCCTGGCGGAACTTTCCGTTCAATAATGCGTCTATCGATCCTTGTCCAGTTTCTCAGACCAGACAAACGACGATCACCTTTCCCCTCGAATCGAGGGTTCATTTCTCATCTTGCGCGCTCAAGTATTCGTAAGGTCTGCTTGTGGTTATCAATATCCCTACCTTCTATGAAACTCACATACCGTTGAGGAGATCAATTGAGCCCCCTACAATGGTAGATATCAGAGTTTGATGCCGCAACACCTAACTTCGGCGGGCCTTCATATAAGAACAAAATAAAAGAACAATTATAACCAGGTAGTATCAACAACGACAAGGGGATAAGATATCAGCTAATCCATCTATTCTTGCTGTATACTCGATGCTTTAATGGATCTCGTTCTACGGATAATAAGTGACGTTTCAATGGAGAGAAGCGGAACAGGTGATATATTTTTCTGTTGAGGAACCTTGCAAAGTAGCATCACGAATTGCCTTTAATCAATCATTTACTCAATGGTAATTCAAAAAAAAAAAAAAAAAAATGTAGGTTAAACGGTCTACAATTGAAATGAACGTATCCATTCCAAGTGTGAGGTATAAACTGCGCTTGCGAAAGTATAGTGCCCTACGGAATTTGACTCTGTACGAGTTCGCGTATCACCTCGGAAGGGGGAGTGTAATGACACGCATAGACTTTAATAACGTGAACTAGTTGAGATTAATCAGTCCTTTAGACTTGCCCGGATTATTTGAATTGCCTTGAGAACTACCTATCAGCGAGACAATTGTAGCGGGTTGACTTATTTGCCCAGACAGAAGTACCCCGCGTCGTCTAGGATTAACTCAACCCAGGGAATATAGAGAGCATGTGAAAAGTGAGTGTGCATTCTTTTCGTCTACCTGTCGCCTCCCTGCTGCGTAAGGCATCCTCGCTTCCAGAGAGGTCTCGTCGTAGAAGAACCTTGTTTGGATCCTAGGCTCATCTCCTTGCATGAGACAGGCTAGACAGCGCACCTGACAGTGATCCCCGGCTAACTCTATCCGAGAGATGTGGGCAGTAATGTGATAGATCAGCATCTGGCGTGCACTCTGTAGGCTTGTCACCTAGTGTCTCTTCCTAGTACAGTGAACGCATGCCAGCTACCCGTAGCCCTAACCTCAGTAAGAGAATCGAGATCTTGGAGTATGCTTGACGGATGACACTGATCTCCGTGGCTGTTGCTGCCCAACGCCCCAAATAGCTAAAGCTGAGGAATGATCTTCGGTGAAAAACTTTAGGCGTAGATAGATGATCCAATGACCTAATCTCGACGCTCGGTCTCTTCTCCCCGACTGAAATACCGATCACAGTCAAGCGTACTTTCTCTTTTGGAAAGATGACTCCAGGGTCAAATTAAGACACATTCGTACAAGAGGGGAGCACCCCGACGAGTGGTTGTGATGCTGACTTGACCAAGGTTTTTCCTAGTCCGAGCGTTCTGTCGTCGGAACACTGCTCTTTTCCAGTTCGTCGAGTTCTCCGAAAGGGATCAAAGGCTTGCCTGACGAGTCAAGTGAGTCAACCCTGTTCAGTCAGGTAGTCCGTGAGATTCACTTTTCTGAGTTTAATCTCTGCGGCTGTCACGCGATACAGAGGATAATATTAAGCCACCACGTCAGGCTGAAGAACTCTGATGCCTAAGACATGCTTGACGACTCGCACTCAAAGATCATCCGTAAAGGAGATTCGAGAAATAAGGACACATGTTGCGGTGCGTACTGGATCATGACTTGAGACTGGTGGAATGAGCACGTCAAGCAAGACACATAAAATAATGCTGCCTCGCTGACTTCCTGTTCTGCCACGTCACCAGGGAGGATCACGCTTGTATGTGTAAATGAGCACAAAATGCGGTGCTGCAGTCGGGTAAGCAGTAAGCACGGACATAAGCAATCAGAAAGACTTGCATATTTGCCTTTTCGAGATTCGGACAAAAAGTGGGTGAGATGCCTTGTCACTACTGCTAGACTTCTGTCTAACCATCCAAAGCACGTTTTTAAGCGCGCAGACAAGCCACAATAGGAAACATCATCGAGCCCAACCTACGATGGCTAGGAACCCGGCCGAGTCCCTGACCCTGATTGGGTTGTGTGTAATCACGTGATTGAATTCGTATGCGGGCTTCCCGTCGATCGCAAAGCAGGCTGGTCGGGTGGATACGCTTGCAGACCAATGGACATGGCTATAAGCCCGTTGGCGTCAGAGTGAGCAATCGAAACCGGCTCAATTTTCTGTTTGCAGGGTGCTGTTGTCCTACTCTTACTAATTTAGTGATGCTCCGATGGCTGGCAAGTTCGCAATGCGGGCACGGAAATTGATTGACTTGGTTGGGCTGCACGACGGGATGCTGTACCCCGAACCTTGCGCCTAAGACAACAAGTCAGTTAGGAACCATGGAACGGCAAGATCTTGCTAGAGTCACTAGCCAAAGCGACTCGGTCACTGGACAAGCGGCCGTTAGTGAGGGTGGGGACTGCATCCTGGAGAGCCCGGAGACCAAGGACACAGTGACGGAGTGACTAGTGACCCCCTGACCACTGACCTCACAGAGCGGGAGCCTGGAGGCCTGGAAAGGGGCCAAGGGCAGCCCACTGAGCCCAATAATGTGTAGTCCACAAGCTGACGGTGGGTTTTGGCGGCAACGGAAAGACGCGGACGGCAATGCACCGCGCCGATCGGGTTCAAAAAAACGTGGCAACAAGTTGGGACAAAGAAGAATAGCCCAGCCTATCAGCCCACGGAAAAGATGGTCGGTAAAAAAGGAAAGAAAGGGAAAACGCATGATAACTTACTGTTATTGTATTACCAGTGTTCTATTACCGTATCTGATGTACGGTATCAGACACATCGACGACCCCAACACTAAAGAAAGCATCAGATTATTCATGGCTGTCAAGGACCTCTATGTGGTGATACTAATCATTAGGGCAAAGTGACGCTTGCTGTGACCTTCGGCCGCATGATACATCAGTCGTAATGATCTCAATTCATTTATTCTAGAGGTTTGAGTGTCCAGTACGTTGCGTGTGTCATTGACGGCTGGACGGAGAGCGTCGGAGGATAGACCTCTAACTCAGATTCCCACATGTCACGAAGGACATCTGCGGTATCGTTGTGAGTTGCAGATTGACACTGGCGATGATTTCATGCGTCGTAGGAAGGTCGAAATTAGGGAAAGAGATGGACGGACGGTAAAGTAGAGCTCCCGGGAAGTAAAATGACATAACCCGAAACGGAGCAATAGCAGGAAACCTTTAAGTGATGATAACCGACCTACGCGAAGGAAAAAGGACAGAGGCCTGCTTATCAGGGTAACTCATCGCCGGCGAGGCGCACTGCCACTGCCGGGGTAAATTATGATGATGGTGATGACGGGTTCTGAGTATGCCACACTACCTTACACTTCATGCATAAGATCGGCGGGAAGTCGGGGCGGCCCGTCATGGACATGTCCAGGAGATGATTAGCGGTGTCGAGTGATAGGATGGTGCCCAACGCCTTGAGGCGAGCAAAATGGCACATGCATCCCAGTCACATTCTTCGACACACTACACACTAACTGCCATGAAGCATCTGTTTGCGATCGCAAATTCCTGCTGAATTGGCGGTGTTTGTCAATATCACATAAGGATTGAGCGCTGCTTTTTCCCCTTCTTGCTCTACCGTCGTCCTCGTTTGCATTTTTCCCGATTGCATTTTCCCTGATGACGCGGTATCCTCCCGAGGCCTCGCAAGGAGGCGTTGTGTGTTTCAGTGTCGCATGAAGGGGCGGGAAAGCGGCAAATGGCATCAGCAAGGTGAGACGGAATAGGTACTCGATAGGTCGGAGTCGAACCCACAGGATTGATACCATGCTAGGGCCTTAATATATCCGAGTCACACGATCCGTCCATAATCTACTATGTGGGTGTGTACCTCTGCTTGACAAGACTGCAGACGTCTTGATTGGCTTTGTAAGCATCATAAGTGCCTCTTTCGGTTAGAGAAACAGTTCATTATGAATCATCCAAACAGGGAGGCGGGGACACAGAACCGTTTGCCGATTTAGGATAGTAATTGTGATAAACTTGCAGA